TCCCCCCCCGTGTCTCTCTCCCCCCCCGTGTCTCTCTCCCCCCCGTGTCTCTCTCTCCCCCCCGTGTCTCTCTCTCCCCCCCGTGTCTCTCTCTCCCCCCCGTGTCTCTCTCTAACCCCCGTGTCTCTCTCTCACCCCCGTGTCTCTCTCCCCCCCGTGTCTCTCTCACCCCGTGTCTCTCTCTCTCCCCGTGTCTCTCTCTCCCCCGTGTCTCTCTCCCCCCCCGTGTCTCTCTCTCCCCCCGTGTGTCTCTCCCCCCGTGTCTCTCTCTCCCCCGTGTCTCTCTCTCCCCCGTGTCTCTCTCTCCCCCCGTGTCTCTCTCTCCCCCCGTGTCTCTCTCTCCCCCCGTGTCTCTCTCTCCCCCGTGTCGCTCTCTCCCCCCGTGTCTCTCTCTCCCCCCCGTGTCTCTCTTTCCCCCCGTGTCTCCCTCTCCCCCCGTGTCTCCCTGTCCCCCCTTGTCTCTCTCTCCCCCCGTGTCTCTCTCTCCCCCCCCCGTGTCTCTCTCCCCTCCGTGTCTCTCTCTCCCCGTGTCTCTCTCTCCCCCCGTGTCTCTTTCTCCCCCCGTGTCTCTTTCTCCCCCCGTGTCTCTCTCTCCCCCCGTGTCTCTCTCTCCCCCCCCGTGTCTCTCTCTCCCCCCGTGTCTCTCTCCCCCCCCGTGTCTCTCTCCCCCCGTGTCTCTCTCTCCCCCCGTGTCTCCCTCTCCCCCCGTGTCTCTCTCTCCCCCCGTGTCTCTCTCTCCCCGTGTCTCTCCCCCCGTGTCTCTCTCTCCCCCCGTGTCTCTCTCTCCCCCCCGCGTCTCTCTCTCCCCCCGTGTCTCTCTCCCCCCCCCCCCCCGTGTCTCCCTCTCCCCCCCCCCCCGTGTCTCCCTCTCCCCCCGTGTCTCTCTCTCCCCCCGTGTCTCCCTCTCCCCCCGTGTCTCTCTCCCCCCGTGTCTCTCTCTCCCCGTGTCTCTCTCTCCCCCCGTGTCTCTTTCTCCCCCCGTGTCTCTCTCCCTCTCCCCCCCCCCCCCGTGTCTCCCTCTCCCCCCGTGTCTCTCTCCCCCCGTGTCTCCCTGTCCCCCCGTGTCTCTCTCTCCCCCCGTGTCTCTCTCTCCCGTGTGTCTCTCTCTCCCCCCGTGTCTCCCTCTCCCCCCGTGTCTCTCTCTCCCGTGTCTCTCTCTCCCCCCGTGTCTCCCTGTCCCCCCGTGTCTCCCTGTCCCCCCGTGTCTCTCTCTCCCCCCGTGTCTCTCTCTCCCGTGTCTCTCTCTCCCCCCGTGTCTCTCTCCCCCCGTGTCTCTCTCTCCCGTGTCTCTCTCTCCCCCGTGTCTCTCTCTCCCGTGTCTCCCTGTCCCCCCGTGTCTCCCTGTCCCCCCGTGTCTCTCTCTCTCCCCCCCGTGTCTCTCTCCCCCCCGTGTCTCTCTCTCCCCCCCGTGTCTCTCTCTCCCCCCCGTGTCTCTCTCTCCCCCCCGTGTCTCTCTCTCCCCCCCGTGTCTCTCTCTCCCCCCCGTGTCTCTCTCTCACCCCGTGTCTCTCTCTCACCCCGTGTCTCTCCCTCTGTGTCTCTCTCTCTCCGTGTCTCTCTCTCCCCCGTGTCTATCTCTCCGTCTCTCTCTCCCCGCGTGTCTCTCTCTCCCCCCGTGTCTCTCTCTGGTCCCCGCGTGTCTCCCTCTCTGGTCCCCGCGTGTCTCTCTCTGGTCCCCGCGTGTCTCTCTCTGGTCCCCGTGTCTCTCTCTGTTGTCCCCGCGTGTCTCTCCGTTGTCCCCGCGTGTCTCTCTCTGGTCCCCGTGTCTCTCCGTTGTCCCCGCGTCTCTCTCTGGTCCCCATGTCTCTCTCTCTGATCCCCGCGTGTCTCTCTCTCTGGTCCCCGTGTCTCTCTCTGACTGGTCCCCGTGTCTCTCTCTGAACCCCGCGTGTCTCTCTCTGTTGTCCCCGTGTCTCTCTCTCTCTGTTGTCCCCGCGTGTCTTCTTCCTCCTCCTCCGCCTCTCGCCGCCTCGCCCACTAGGCCTCAACTCATTGTACACAACAAGGCCAGCGCAGCCACCGCCCATAAGCCGCTCGCGTCTCCCCGTGTCTCCTGTCCCACACCCCCCGAGTGTCTCCCAGTGTCCCCCAGCGTCTCCCCAGCGTCTCCCCGCCCACCGCCGCTGTCTCCGCACGAGGCTCTCACCGCTCCTGTTCCTTTGCGACCGCCGAAAGCCTTCGGCCTCCACTAAAAAAAACCCCACCGCCTCGCGTAGGGCGAAGGGGGGCGTGACGTCATTTAGACGTTAGGGTGAGGGTGCGTGACGTCGTGTAGACGCTAGGGTGGGGGTGCTCGTCGTCATGTAGAGGTGATGGGTGGGGCGTTGGGTGGGGGTGACGTCTAGTGCACGCTAGGGCGGGGCGGTGGACGGTGCGTGACGTCACGTAGACGCTCGGGTGGGGCGGTGGGGGTGCGCGACGTCATGTAGACGGTGGGGCGGTGGGGGTGCGCGACGTCATGTAGACGGTGGGCCGGTCGGGGGGGAGACCTGACGTCACTTTCACGTTCCGGATATTTCACCCACCCTCCCAAACCGCCGCACGATACGTGACGACACCGTGCCCTTACGTGACGTCACGTTCTGGAGATTACTAGCCCCCCCACCCACACCGCCGCGGGAGACGTGACGTCATCGCGCTCGCGCGTGACGTCTCGGGCAGCATCGACTTAACATGATTCCATTTTCTTTGATTCTTTCGGTAAAGTCACCACCACGTAGAGTGATAATAAAATAATAAATTGATAAAATAAAATAACACGATAAAATTCTCACGACGTTTCGGCCACAACACAAGCGGCCTTCATCAGGTGAAGGGACGAGACAGTCTGGAGGACAGCGCTGGTGCGAACACAGCCAAGCTCAGATCGCGACCTTTAAGCTGTGTGAGAGGAACAAAGCGCCTTGACAAAGGAATTAGCATAGAATTTAGCATTGAAATGGCTGAGTGATTAGCTTGTGACTGGTCACAGAAATGGCTATGTTAAAGTTAAAGCATACACATCCGCAGAGGCACCCCTTGATAAAGGAATTAGCATATAATTTAGCATTGAAATGGCTGAGTGATTAGCTTGTGACTGGTCACAGAAATAGCTATGTTAAAGTTAAAGCATACACATCCGCAAAGGCACCCCTTGACAAAGGAATTAGCATAGAATTTAGCATTGAAATAGCTAAGTTAAAGTATACACATCCGCAGAGGCACCCCTTGACAAAGGAATTAGCATAGCTTTAAATCGAAATCTTAAAGTGACTTTGTGTGTGTGACTGTGCAAACAGAAAATCCAGGAAAAACAACATCAAAATATTCCTGAAATAGCACCGTGTACATCACCAGCGCTGTGTGCAAAAATCCCAGTGGGATGCAAAGTCAAACAACAACAACCACAAGACAACTTTAGATTTAGGCCATCAGTCTAACTCCGTACTAAGTCGGGTAACGAGGAATCCGATGAGCTATAAAGCTCTTTACCCCCCCCACCCCACCCACAGATGTCCAGCAAAATAAGTACCAACAACGCATGGCCCCAAAGAGGCTGGTAGAGTTCACAATAAAGTTGTATTATTTTGGGTTTACATCGCGTGAGTATACATCTTGTGTCGTAACCCTCCACCACCCGACACAGCCAGCGAGGTTTGTCACGTTAACAAAACGCGCCAATTAGTTCCTAGTGTGGTGTATTGTCATGTAGTGTATAGTAGTGTAGTGTATAGTAGTGTAGTGTATAGTAGTGTAGTATATAGCGTAGTGTATAGTGTAGTGTATAGTGTAGTGTATAGTAGTGTAGTGTATAGTAGTGTAGAGCGTAGTGTATAGTGTAGTGTATAGTGTAGTGTATTGTCGTGTAGTGTATAGTAGTGTAGTGTATAGTAATGTAGTGTATAGTAGTGTAGTGTATAGCGTAGTGTATAATAGAATAGCGTATAATAGAGTAGTGTATAGTAGTGTATAGTGTAGTGTATAGTAGTGTGTAGTGTATAGTAGTGTAGTGTATAGTAGTGTATAGTGTAGTGTATAGTAGTGTAGTGTATAGTAGTGTAGTGTATAGTGTAGTGTATAGTGTAGTGTATAGTAGTGTATAGTAGTGTAGTGTATAGTAGTGTATAGTGTAGTGTATAGTGTAGTGTACAGTGTAGTGTATAGTAGTGTAGTATATAATAGTGTAGTGTACAGTAGTGTAGTCTATAGTAGTGTATAGTGTAGTATATAATAGTGTAGTGTATAGTAGTTTAGTGTATAGTAGTGTATAGTGTAGTGTATAGTGTAGTGTACAGTGTAGTGTATAGTAGTGTAGTATATAATAGTGTAGTGTATAGTAGTGTAGTCTATAGTAGTGTATAGTGTAGTGTATAGTAGTGTAGTGTATAGTGTAGTGTATAGTAGTGTATAGTGTAGTGTATAGTGTAGTGTATAGTAGTGTATAGTGTAGTGTACAGTAGTGTATAGTAGTGTATAGTGAAGTGTATAGTAGTGTATAGTGTAGTGTATAATGTAGTGTATAGTAGTGTATAGTGTAGTGTATAGTAGTGTGTAGTGTGTAGTGGACAGTATAGTGTTTCATATAGTGCCGTGTATAATAGTGTAAAGTGTAGTAGAGAGTAAACCCACAGCATGTTCAAGTTGAGTAACGAGGCTTCGCTGACGACTGCATCCAACCATCGGGCGATTATTTTTTTTAGTAGTGTATAGTAGTGCAGTGTATAGTAGAGTAGTGTATAGTAGTGTAGTGTATAGTAGTGTAGAGCGTAGTGTATAGTGTAGTGTATTGTCGTGTAGTGTATAGTAGTGTAGTGTATAGTAGTGTAGTGTATAGTAGTGTAGTGTATAGCGTAGTGTATAGTGTAGTGTATTGTCATGTAGTGTATAGTGTATAGTAGTGCAGTGTATAGTAATGTAGTGTATAGTAGTGTAGTGTATAGTAGTGTAGTCCACCCATCTCGGGCCGGGGGATGACGTCACCGCGAACAAAACGACGTGACGTCACCCGCACGTCGATGTCAGCGCGACGCGTGTGACGTCACCCGGGCGACGTGACGTCACACACCTCACGCCCCTGACAGCCGCGGCCGACACCGCATCGTTTAACGTCCTCCTCCCTCACCTCGTCGATGTCCGCAATCGTCGGTGAGGAACAGAGGAGGAGGAGAGGAGGGGAGGAGGAGGGGAGGAGGAGGAGAGGAGGAGGAGAGAGCCGCTCGCTCAGCTACCCGTGGCGGACTCCGCTACCCCCAACTCCCTCACCCGCCCCACCTCACACAACCACCCCTCCCCCCCGCTGGTTTCCAGGCAAATGGCCAGGCCTGACTGAGGCCTGGCGGCTTAAATCCTCGTTAATTAGCCCGCGTTCGTTGTCGTCGGCGGTCTGTTGGCTTGGGGGGTTGTTGGTTCAGGGGTTGAAACACGCGGCATCTTTGCATCGGCCCCTGTGAGCGTGAAAGGTCGCTAACGAATCCACAGCTCTGCAAGGCGGGGGGAGGTGGGGGGGGGTAGGAGATGTTGACTACCTCGCCTAGTATACAGGAGGTCGTGGGTTCGATCCCAACCCTGCTGCTGTATATTTGGAGTCTGCGTGTCTCTCCCATCATCTTCATCATCATCACGGTGGCTTGGAGATGTTGACTACCTCGCCTTGTGTGCAGGAGGCGTGGGTTCGATCCCGACCCCTGCTGCTGTATATTTGGAGTCTGCGTCTCATCATCACGGTGGCTTGGAGATGTTGACTACCTCGCCTTGTGTGCAGGAGGTCGTGGGTTCGATCCCGACCCTGCTGCTGCTGTATATTTGGAGTCTGCGTCTCTCTCCCATCATCTTCATCATCATCACGGTGGCTTGGAGATGTTGACTACCTCGCCCGGTGTGCAGGAGGTCGTGGGTTCGATCCCGACCCTGCTGCTGCTGTATATTTGGAGTCTGCGTCTCTCATCATCACGGTGGCTATGAGATATTGACTACCTCGCCCGGTGTGCAGGAGGTCCTGGGTTCGATCCCGACCCTGCTGCTGTATATTTGGAGTCTGCGTGTCTCTCCCATCATCTTCATCATCACGGTGGCTTGGAGATGTTGACTACCTCGCCCGGTGTGCAGGAGGTCCTGGGTTCGATCCCGACCCCTGCTGTATATTTGGAGTCTGCGTCTCATCATCATCACGGTGCTAGGAGATGTTGACTACCTCGCCCGGTGTGCAGGAAGTCGTGGGTTCGATCCTTACCCTGACGCCTGCTGCTGTATATTTGGAGTCTGCGTCTCTCATCATCATCATCACGGTGACTAGGAGATGTTGACTACCTCGCCCGGTGTGCAGGAGGTCGTGGGTTCGATCCGGACCCCTGACGATGCCTGCTGCTGTATATTTGGAGTCTGTGTCTCTCATCATCATCATCACGGTGGCTAGGAGAAGTTGACTACCTCGCCCGGTGTGCAGGAGGTCGTGGGTTCAATCCTGACCCTGACGCCTGCTGCTGCTGCTGCTGTTTATTTGGAATCCGCGGCTCTCTCATCATCATCATCATCATCACTCCGGCTAGGCGACGTTAACTCCCTCGCCTAGTGTGCAGGAGGTCGTGGTTTTCGACCCCAACCCCTGACGATGCTTGCTGCCGGACTCTGCGTTCATCTCCACGTGGTGCTCGCGCGGATGTCTCTCCGGGTCCTCGTGGTTGCGTTTCCCTCCGCGTTGCCTTCACGACGTCGCGGCGACGTCGTCGCGACGGCGACTCCGCGGCGGTGACGCTCGCGTTTTTATTTGTACGCGCCGACGGCAGGGAAAATGGACGGCGGGGACGAGAAGCGAACGTCCTGCGTCGTCTGCGGCCAGGAGGCGGACGGCGCGGCCGCGCTGCAGGACCACATGAGGCAGCACGGCAGGTGGGGCAACCCGGCCGTCGTGCACCTGTGCGACCAGTGCGTGTACAGCACGGACAAGCAGAGCCGCCTCAACATCCACCAGAGGATCCACACGGGCGAGAAGCCCTACATGTGCACCGCGTGCGGCAAGGCGTTCACCCAGTCGGGGGCCCTCCAGTGCCACCAGAGGACGCACACGGGCGAGAAGCCCTACAAGTGCACGATGTGCGAGAAGGCCTTCACGCAGTCGGGCGCCCTGCACAACCACGAGAGGACGCACACGGGCGAGAAGCCCTACAAGTGCTCGGTGTGCGGCAAGGCCTTCACGCAGTCGGGGGCCCTCCAGAGCCACCAGAGGACGCACACGGGCGAGAAGCCGTACAAGTGCACCGTGTGCGGCAAGGCCTTCACTCAGTCGGGCGCCCTCCACAGCCACCACAGGACCCACACGGGCGAGAAGCCGTACAAGTGCGGCGTGTGCATGAAGGCGTTCACCCAGTCGGAGAACCTGCACAAGCACCAGGTCACCCACGCGGGCCTCCAGTTCAAGAGTTCGAACTTCACGACCCCGACGATAATAAAGAATTGAATTTTTGGGGGTGGGGTTGGGGGTGGGACGGAGGTGGGCAAATCGCGACGGACGCTCTCGCAGGTGATCCCTCTCGTCGGCGTCGATCGCCCTGACCGACCGGGCCGGAGGGACGTGTGGCGACTGCGGGACGGACAGGCCCGGGGGGGACACGAAGCGTCGTCGTCGTCGTCGTCGTCGTCGCCGCCGCCGCTTGATACTCTGCGCCTTCCCCGCGCGGTCGACGAGGCCCCCCCCCCCCCCCCCCCCCCCTCGCTCCCCCCCCCCCCCCACCACCACCACCGGTGAGCCGGTCCAACCGAGGAGGCCACCCACCACCCCGGTTGGAGCTGTCCTTTGTTCGGCGCGTGCACCGGCGGCCCTCCGTGAGTGGGCACCGGCCGTCGCCAGTGGAGGGTGACCTTGGTCTGTTGGTCGCACGAAAGGACCCCCCCCCCCTTTCAATCCGTGGCGCCGAACGCGGGCATGGCTCTCGGGAACCGCCCCCTACGTCAGCGGCGTCAAGGCCCACTTTTTCTGATCCGCGGCTGACGCCGGGGGGCCCGCGGCCGTCCGCCCCTGGTTACGGCGACCGCCGAACGGGAGTCGCTCGCGCGATGAAATGGGTCGGGTCGCGACCGCCCGCGCACGACGGGCGACTGCACGGTTTGCGAGGAGTCAACGTGGCGAGTTCTTTGAAGGGGGGGGGGGGGGGTTTACGAACCCCTCCCCCCCCCCCCCCCCCCCCCCCCCCCCCCCCCCCTGGCTCCGACCCACCCCTCCTCCGCCACCTTCCCGGCGGTATTAACCAGGGCGGCCGGTGAGCTCGAACCTTTGGAGGAGAAGGAGAAAAGAAGGAGAAATAAAAAAACCCCCTGGCGAAATCGGAGACGAAAACACCGCCGCCGCCTTGCTCGACCGCCGTGTCACTCCGCAATAAAAAAAAACCTAGCCCCCCCCCCCCCTCTGCCACCCACCCACCCACCCCCCCTCCCCCACTGGCGGTATTAACCAGGGCGGCCGGTAAGTTCACACCTTGAAGAAGAAAAACAAAAGACCTCCGGCAAAAACAAAGCCGAAAACCGCCACCACCACCACCACCACCACCTCGCTCACCCCGCCATCAAAAAAACTTATGCCCCCCCCCCCCCATCTGCCCCCCCATCCCGAGAGGGGTGGACACTTGCCCGTGGTTTTTGTGACCGGAGCACGGCTGAGCGACGGAGAGCGACGGACAAGCGATTTTCAAGTGCACTGGATGAGGATGGGGGGCGTACGCGAGCCGGCACGGTCGATGTTCAGCGCCCGTGTGCGAAAGTGGCATGAACAAACCCGGTGGGTGGATAAAAGTACGGACCGGTGCCTCCACCCCCCCCCCCTCTCCTCCCTGCATCACCCCGACCATTCCGGTATCCTGGGACGCTTACTGGATGAACGAGATGACGCCTGGAGGGAGGTAGGAGGTAGGGAGGGGAGGTCGGTAGGGAGGTAAGGGGGTCGGGAGGTAGGTAGGGAAGGAGGGAGGTCGGGAGGGAGGGAGGTTCAGCAAAGTTGGTTTTCTCCGAGGAGGCTGTGAACCAGCAGCGGCGGTGGAGTTTGCATGCTCCACCTCTTGATGCGCGCGGATTTTTTAATTTTTATTATTCTTCGCGCGAAGTGGTGGCGGGGGACGAAATAAAAGTTGAGTTCAAGAAGAAACTTACCGAATAGTCACGGGGGAATGCGTGGGACTTGCTTGACCCCGTTTATTTTTTTAATAGGCGGGGGGCGGGGGGGGAGGAGGGGTCCCAGGCGACTCGGTGATGCTCTCCGCATGCGATAAATATCTGTCGGCCGATTGATTTTCCGCGATCGTGGGTAATTGCCCGATCGCGCTCTGCGGGATGAATTGTTGGCGTGTATTTTTTTTTACACGCGCTCGCTCGGCACCGGTTTTCATTACAGGCCGCTCCCTTAACTCGTCGAGGGTTGGGTCGAGAGATCAAAACGTAGAACGGATGGGGGGGGGGGGCGGGGGCGGGCGTTCGTCAACCAAACAGCGGCTTCTTAGGCCCGGCCGAAACGGACGATCTTTTTAAAACTCGGCAAATTCTGCTTGGGGATTTTCAACATTCCTCTGCCTCCTCATCCATCACCGCCGCCGGTTTTGCCGGCGAGAGCCAACCGAGTTGTTGTGCCACCTGGGTTTGGCTCTCGTCGCCGGGTGCTGGAGGCCAATCGCGACGTCGTAAAATACAACGTTAAGCCCCTTCGCGGCCATCTCGCCCAAGCGGGAGGTTAATTGCGAGTCTTCGTCGCCCGCCCGCGTTCGCGTGCCGTAACTCGACGCACGTTTTTAGTATTCCGCGCGGTCCGTTTTGCCCTTCATTTCGCGTCGCCGTTCGCGCTCCCCGTTAAACCCTGGACAATCGAGAGTCTGCGTCGTGCCAATGAGCAGTTAACCGTAGTGTGTAGACTTGCGCGCGCGCGTATGCATATGTGTCTGCTACCGCTTGAGACGGGTGGTGAGGAGGGAGACTGCCGTCAACGACTTGATCCTCGTTTCGGTAAATTTGACGTCGGTGGGTGATGCTGCTGCTGCTGCTGCGTTGGCGGTGGTGCACTAATAGCACCAACAACAACGCAACTTGGCGCATCGTTCATAAAGGAATTCTGTACACAGGGACTCCTCTACTTATGAACGAGTTAAGCTCTAGAGTTCTGCTCATAAGTCGATTTGTTCGTGAGTCCCAACTTTAATCCTGTCAATTCCAAACACATTGTACGACGTGCACACTTCATGTTCTGCAGATGTCGATGCACGGCGGTTGAACTTACGACTCTTGGTCCGGACAGGCAACTGGATGTACGGACCAGGTTTGTTCCCATCTCTGAAAGTTCGTAAGTCGAATGTTTCGTAAGTAGAGGAGTCTCCGTACAATATGTATGGTTCTTGAACTTCTTTCACACCGTACGTAGCCCAACCGCGCTATTTGGAGAACAACTAAACACAACAACATTGAGCAGCAGTTCTCAAGAAACGACTTCTGGTGGGCAATGGCTCTCATTCACGATAAGGGCCACTGCCCAAAATGTCGCCTCTTAAATGTTTCTAGTCCAAAAATCCTTGTCACGGCCACACACAGCAAGGCGGCCATGCAAGCCCCGGCTCGGGGACATTCCTCCCCGACTGCTTTCCACACGGCGCTCTCCTCTGTCGCTTCATCTTCGTTTTCCACCCCCCCCGCCCCCTTCCCACCGCATCTTCGATGAGCACGGTTGGCTCCGTACGACGGTGCCAAAGAATTTCAACCTACACAAAGATCCCCCCCCCCATATAGCCGTAACAGACTGTTGGGGCAAGTGCTGTTCGCGAGCAGAACCTATGAAGACTGGCACGGCACACGACGGGGGTAGGTGGCCAGCACCTCGCCCGGCCGCCTTTGTCTCCCCAGACCGCACCAGGTACTCGTTTAGATCCGAGTCGTCCTAGGGGAGGCCCAAGGAATAGGTTCAGATAACCGTCACTGGTGTTGGCCGTGAGCGGGAATCGAACTTCGGGTCGGCTGGTTCGTAATGCAGTGGGCTAACCACTACACTACCACTCCCCATACAGCGGCACACACAGTGACAAAGGCAAAGATCCTCCGTATAGCCTTAACGGACTTGGGGCAAGTGCTGTTAGTAGTGAGTAGCAGCACCTATGGAGGCCGGCACGGTACACGAGGGGGTGGGTGGCCAGCACCACGCCCGGCCGCTTTTGTCTCCCCGGTAGTGCTGTTTTTAAGCACCGCACCAGGTACTCGTTTAAGGCTGAGACGACCTAGGGGAGACCCAGGACCGGCTCGGATAATAGTCACTGATGTTGGACGTGAACGGGAATCGAACTCGGGTCGCCGGGTGCGTGGCGCTAACCACTACCGCCAGGGGCGGAGCCAGGATTTTGACTTTGGGGGGGGTGGCTGACTTCAATATTCTGAGATATCCACTGTTTATGTTTTCCAATGGGCGTCACAAATGTATAAAACAAATTTTATTGGATTTGAACGCGGAGTTCATTAATAGGTCGGAGCCGCCGATGTGGCTAATAAGTTCGAAAGGCTGCCGCTCAAGCAGCCTGCACGGCAGCACAAGGTGGCAGCACAAGGTGGCAGGCTGCAGCATTTTGCAGCAGCCGGATATCCGGTTATCCCGATTACCGATTTTCCCAAAATTTCAGGGGGGGCTGAGCCCCCCCACAGCCCCCCCCCCCTCCCCCCTGTGGCTCCACCCCTGACCAGCGCTCCCCAACGTACACACATGTTTCAAATCGGCCGAGTTTTATGGGCAGCAAACGTGAACCGCCACGTCCATTACACCAGTAGTTCTTACCCTTTCCTGCAGCCTTTTGAACCCCTTTGGATCTCAATCGTTAAACAATGTTTCAATGTTAATAAACACATAGGGTTCGTTAAGACAAAGTAAGTTGTTACATGCCCTTGCTTCATTTGTGTTTTCGATTTACCTTCTAAAAAGAGATCTGGCAGTGTCTCGCTACCCCCAGAAAGGGCATCTCTGTCACCCCCAGGTGGTGTCTCGCTACCCCCAGAAAGGGCATCTCTGTCACCCCCAGGGGGTGTCTCGCTACCCCCAGAAAGGGCATCTCTGTCACCCCCATGGTGTGTCTCGCTACCCCCAGAAAGGGCATCTCTGTCACCCCCATGGTGTGTCTCGCTACCCCCAGAAAGGGCATCTCTGTCACCCCCATGGAGGTGTCTCGCTACCCCCAGAAAGGGCATCTCTGGTACCCCCATGGTGTCTCGCTACCCCCAGAAAGGGCATCTCTGTCACCCCCATGGTGTGTCTCGCTACCCCCAGAAAGGGCATCTCTGGCACCCCCATGGGGGTGTCTCGCTACCCCCAGAAAGGGCATCTCTATCACCCCCATGGTGTCTCGCTACCCCCAGACAGGGCATCTCTGGCACCTCCATGGAGGTGTCTCGCTACCCCCAGAAAGGGCATCTCTGGTACCCCCATGGGGGTGTCTCGCTACCCCCAGAAAGGGCATCTCTGGTACCCCCATGGGGGTGTCTCGCTACCCCCAGAAAGGACATCTCTGGTACTCCCATGGTGTCTCGCTACCCCCAGAAAGGGCATCTCTGGTACCCCCATGGGGGTGTCTCGCTACCCCCAGAAAGGGCATCTCTGGTACCCCCATGGGGGTGTCTCGCTACCCCCAGAAAGGACATCTCTGTCACCCCCATCGTGTGTCTCGCTACCCCCAGAAAGGGCATCTCTGTCACCCCCAT